TATATATATATATGTGATTATTATTCAAGATAAGTAAAAAAAATTATTTTGAGCGATGCAAATAGCTCCTTCTAAAAATATTTTAATTTTTATCACGTTTAAAATCAGATTAGATTAAAATTGTGATATTTTTATCAATTATCAAAAATCAGATTATATAATTATATTAAATGAAAGGTTTTATTTTTGAATTACATGAATTCACGGTCACGAATTGTTAAAAAATATTTTTCACAGGCAGCTAATAATTACACAGGCAGAGTGACGGCATGAACAAACTAACCTATGCGGATACGTGGAAACTAATATCAATGATACTTATTTTACACTTTTTTTATGCAGCTAATTAAAACTTATGGTAAACAATTTACAATTTCAACACCTTACAATACCTTACTCATAACAATCTTCATATTGTGAGCTAAGCAATCAGTTTCCTTATGTATTTTTTATAGTTTAATAAAAATTTTTTGTTCGCTTTGTATAAATCTCGCTGAATCATGATGATATGCAAGAAATATGTAAATTGTAAATACTTTTATTGACTTACATCATTTATTATGTATTTAATCTTTCATTGTTATCGAGCAAGTGTCAAAGTTTTCTGATTTTTCTGAATATGTTTCAAAATTTATCCATTTATCTAATAATAATCCAATAAAGTGGATATCCAATTTTGAGATAAGATATTAATATCAAATAAATCCACGTGTCCGCGAAACATCGAAAATGTATAAGTACATTTAAGATTAAACGCATCGAAAGTACTTCTCGATACTACGTTGGAAATAATATCATCTAATAATAATTTGTATTATCCGATATTAACTTCGAACATATATTCTCAATGCAGTATCCACTTACGTGAAGTACCCTCGAGTATCAATTCTCAAGAAACTTACTCTTAAATGTATTAAGTCATCCCATAAGTNGTCATCCCATAAGTAATATCATTTTACAAGTATAATTCTTATTAAAAAAAAAAAAAAAAAAGTAATAACACGTATACTTATATATTTTTAATTTCAATAAATTAAAATAAATAAATTTCTTATCTTTTTAATCGAGCAATTTGTTTATTGTTAATTCCTTAATTTTTAAAAAAGTTTCAATTACTTAAAAAAATTTCATTCTATACATATAAAAAATAAATAACTTTATAATGCTAGATTAAAAAAATAAATTTATCAATCACTAATTATATAGTTTTTAATTATTAATATTATTTAATAATTATTATCAAAATGGAAGAGAACCTTTTTATGATATTTTAACAGCGATACGATTTATTTCACTGTACGAAATTATTTTAAGAAGAATTTGACTTCGTTTAAAAAATTTACTCGATAAATAATTCTTCGTAATTCGCAATTCGATTTTTAAAACGAAATTACTTATGGATTTACCGAACATTTGCATCCAAAGAATAAAGCGAAGAGTAAAGAGACAGAGAGACAGAGAGAGAGAGAGAGAGAAAGAGAGAAAGAGAGACACAGAGAGAAAAAGAAAACAGAGTCGAAAGATCGAAGAGTACAAAGAAAATAGAATTAAGACGAAAGCATGGACTGACGGTGGGGTTATGCTGTTTCGGTGCTGGGAACTCGGTGGAGCGACTTCCGGTACCCC